CTTACCCTGAAACTTGAACATAGTATTAAGATTGTGTAGCTCATGTCATTCAGTACAAGATGGTATGCGAATATTTTAGCCTGTAGTGTCTGAGAGACTAATGATTGTTTGAAATGGGAAGAAGCTTTGACCACCAGATGTTATCTTTTGAAATAAATAGGTCCCATGGTTTACCCAATCGCTTCCTTTGCCCTTCACTTGACTCTTTGGATAACTGTTACTGTTGCTTGCAACTCCGTTCATTTACAGAAGAAGACTTGTGATCAGTCCCTAAAATGTAGATTCCCCACTTTTGTAATTCGATAAATTAATTTTTCAAAAATAAACTGTTAAGTCAGTCCAATATATGAGAATAACAGTGGCTTAACATTACTGTGGTTTGGTATGTACATATGGATATGTGTTGTGTGTGTGTCCATTTATTACTACACTTCTGGGAGCTAATGCCTGATCTTTGTGCAATAAAGAAAGCTTGCAGACAAGATTGCAGCTGCTGGATTCTATGTGGCAGTTCCTGACTTCTTTTATGGAGATCCTATGTAGTTAATCCTGAAAGACCTATACAACTTGGTTAAAAGATCATGGAAGTTGGTTCTGAATTTTGATACATGAACTTGTTTATTTAATCAATTTCTGTTACAAAGAGTCGTTTTGCTTCATTGATATCTCGGGATTAATTTTTTAGGTCCATCTAGAATTTCCATGTAGCTCCTAGATTGATTCAGCTGCCTTATTTGTATTAATTGTTATTTCTGTACTAAGCCAAACTGCCTGCTGTACTCCACCGGTCACTATCATGCCTAAATTCATAGTTCTGATGTCTCTGTGGAGTTGTTAATAATGCACCATGTCAGCTTTTAAGTGGCTGAGCCATTTATTGTTTTTAATAGGATAAGGGTTTGATGATGCAAAGCCAGTAATTCAAACCTTAAGAGTAAAGGTATACTGCAATTGGGGCTGTAGGCTTCTGCTGGGCGGTAAGATTAGATCTTTTGCCTTACTAATTTGTTTTTTTTCAATAATACTACACATCCCAAAATTCCCATCCCAAAAGTTTGTAATTTGTGGTGTTAGATGTAAATGAATTGATGATTTGTGAATGAATGACAATGCCAATAAGATGACAGTCATTGGTAAGTGAATTTTGGGTATGTAGATTACTCTTTTATTTTACTTTTTTGATAGTATCATATCATATTCTTTATATCAATATTGTCACTGTAATACATGCAATATTGATTGAGCTGATAATACTACTTTTTTTCTCAGCTAAAGTCGTAGTTCAACTGCAAGGGTGAATTTATCAAAGCTGCTGTCTGTGTCATCCTCATTTGTCACTCCTGACGATATCAGGGTATGAATTCTGAGATATTCTGGATATATTCTTTGTTAATTGCTTATTCATTCTCAGCTAACTTGGGGTGGGTTTCACTGGGACCACTCTGTTAATCATTAATGTTTCATTTTGGTTTAATTAATCATATGTTTGTGATACTCAGTGGTTGAGGTTCCCATTGCTGTACTGGGACTGAGATTGATCACCTTTCTCCACCCTCTCTTGGAAACAGTGAAGAGATCCTAACTGCTAAACCTGAGGTAAGAAGATGCTTTGTCCTAATTTGTCTAATTTGAAAGTGTATTTTCTTTGTTTAGGTAACAGAATTAAACCAAAAGCACAGATTTTTGGTTATGTTGTATTATCTGTTAGGCTTCTCCTGTTATGTTTCTTTACATAACGTGGTTCATATTTGGAGATACGATGTCATCTTAGGTTTAAAATAATGAGACAGTAGCTCATGAGGATTTGATGATGATTGTGTGCCTTGTTGGGTCGGTAATGGTTATTGATGGCATATCTTCAAATTTTGTAATAGTGATAGATGATAATTGTGATTAAATAAAAATACTATGTTTTGTTGAAATGTTTCTTTTATTGTCTCACATTTGTATGGTAGTAATGTTAATGATTTGTCACTCATCTTAGCAAAAATCTAATTCCAACTGCATAGCAAAATTAATTGCTTTGTCCTTAGCTCGTTGTGGGGACAGACCAGTGGTTGAATCACTTTCCTAAACTTCCTCTTTTTTGACTTTTGCCTTGTCTTTCATGGCCATATTGTATTTTGTAGAGACCAACGACATTGAACCATTTGATTTAGGATATTGAATGTTTGTTCTAATGGTCAAATTGATTTTTGTCAGGTTGATGCTTTTGTGAAAATATTCCCGAAAGTTTCGCATGGATGGACGGTGCGATACAATGTAGAAGATGCAGAAGCTGTGAAGTGTGCAGATGAAGCTCATCAGAACATTCTGGAGTGGTTTGCCAAGTATGTCAAGTGAGAAGCTTGCCAGATGATAGTAGTGGTCAATATGTTATATCTAAGTATCTATCAACCAATAACTAGAGACTACCTAGACTTTTATTATCCATGATGTCTGATATATCGAATAATAGCATCTCTGATTAGGGAAAGAGGGTCTTCTTTAGCACACCTCTTATGCATCTTGTATCTGGTAAAATATGTCTCTCTGCGAGTGATTTATGTACCTGTCTGTGTAGTAGATTGTGAAATCTTCAAGAACAATGAGAGATTTGTCTGTCGAATTCGCTTTTCCAGTTCTATGATTTTGGGCCCTTTTAATAGTCTGTCATTTCTGTATGTTCATATAGCATGGACTACTGAGATTCTTCTTCTGTGCATCCTATACATTTACAAACACCCAATGAAGGTGTGCCATGTCAGCATGCGTGTATGATGTGGACTCCCTTGTTGGGCAGTTGTAGGTGTATTGGATGCATAGAAGAATTGTTCCAAGAAAGGGAGGTAAAATCAGTCGGGTTCATTGTGACATTAGCCAGAAAAGATTAACATAGCAAAAGTTTCTCATGAAGATTAACATCCCTTGATCTTATCTGAAAAACTTTGCAATTTCTTCTGAGATAGGTTTCCATGAGCATCTTGGTGGCCATTTTCACAGGTATTGAAAGTCTGAAACTGACTGAAAACAAAAGGATGATTTGTCGTCCAGGGCTTCTCTGTTGTACTATGTGGTGAGTGTTGCATAGTGTCTCATATCCACACACATTGCACATGCTGGAGACTGGGACAGGCCCCATTTCCTTCAACCAACAACCACAAACAAGGAAATACTAATCAATTGCTCAAAACCCCGTAAATTTTTTTTTTTTACCAAAAAAAAAAAAGATACATATAACTATAATTAGATGGTTTTAGTTCCGGCATTGCGGGGGCTCTTAACAATCATGGTTTTTGTTGATGAATGTTTGGCCAAATTAGGTTGTAGATTGGGTATTATATAACAGATAGTAAATTCTTTGAAGGAAATTCTGCCCAATTCTTTATAGGTAGAGGGAAATTCCTCAGGTTTCTTATTCTATGTTCCTATTAATGAGAAACAAATTGACACATTTAATTTACCATTACATAACTGTAATTTTTTTTTTTTATAATTGAAGTGTTTGGATCAATTTATATATATCTTAATTAGTCTACGCTTTGTTAACATGATTGCAACTTTGTGAAAAAAAAAAAAAAAGTTTAAGCAAGTCAAATCATCGAAATTGTTCAATAAATATATAAATAAATAGAGTTGATTTTTTATTCAACAATCAAACAATTTTAACGGACTTTTTCAATAATCAAAGGATAAGAAAGAATTTCCCATATTTATTGAAAAATAAATAAATAAAGTCTACGTGGCTGAGTCTCTGAAGATTGAATTTGCGAAGAGCTTAATGGGACACAAAGCATTTGTTGTCGTAATAAAGAATGAGTAGTGATAAAGCGGTGGAAAGGAGAGGACCCAGCCCCATGCGCCTTACGAAGCAAGTGGCGGACACGCTCTATCACCGATTCTACACAAAACGCGTCTCGTTTCTATCTGGGCTGGCTCTGTGCAAGATGCCACTCACATTACATCACGGGCAATTGCGCGTGGACTTTATACTTGTCCAATTTTTTTTTATTTTAGTATTCAAAAATTTTCCCGTGCTTTCTTGCTTCCACTTTCCCTTTGTCTTCTTGGCCCCGCTTTCATGAATTATTTTACAAACAAACCTTCTCCATCCCAATTTCGCCCTTTATTTTTATTTTATTGCAATAAACTTTAAGAAGGTTTTTCTTTCACCCATTGAGACGTTGAGGCCATGTGCTGCCACATGCCCCCATGTTAATTTCTCCATGGGATGAACTCTGCTGAATTGTTGATGCAAAGAAGATGACAACACGTGTACAAACAGCGACAACCTCAATAATATTAACTATTAAAACTCCCTTATTTTATAAAGATCAACGACTGCAGTAACTTCATTCAATCTTATCTTTAATGACTAATCACCCTATTAATTAACTATTTAATCTTTCCCCTTTTTGGGTAAATTACACCTCAACAAATTACTATTCCCTTCACTCAACATTATATTTTATATTTTTTCATATTACAATGCTGATAGTTTAGGTGGTAATTAAAATAGAATTAATGTTTCTCCTAATTTGGAGCTCCACTAATTATAATAAATTTATTTTTTTATCTTTTAAGAATCTTAGGATCCAAGATATTTATTGGTTTTATAGTCTCTTGTTAAATCATTATTTTTATTTTACCTCTTAAAAATGAAAAATTCCATCTATTTAATTTACTATTTATTCTAGTTAATTCATAATGTTATTTTTTTTTTCTAATTTAAAAAAATATTTTTAATAATAATTTCCAAATATTTTAATAAACATAATTTAAAATTCATTACAAATATTTACTTAGATATCTCCCATAACTATCAAATGTTATTAAATAACTTTAAGAATAAAGATAAAATGGTTTCTTGTGAAAAAAATTGGAGGAAATTCGAAACTTATTATTTACTTTACCGGTAAATTTCACCAATTTGCAGTGGCAAAATGGTCTTTTTGTAGGAAAATGATTGTGTATTACTTTATCAAATTTGAAAAATAAAATAAAAATCCCGTTTCGTCCGTTCTTGTTCTCTCTGTGCTTCAGAAAAAAGCTTTCAACCTGAATAAGTACAGCTCACAGCCCACGTAGATTTTCCATTCTCCGTTTCTCTTAAGATCCAAACACTCAAGCCCCTTTCAGAAAACACTTCGTGTTTTCACTTTCCTTCTGATTAAACAAAGACCTTTCTCAAAGCTCAAAGCTTTTTCATTTATATTTGTTTTCTCACAACACAAAGTACTAGTTTTGATCGTTTTCTTAGATTCATCAAATTTTAGTTTTTTCCGCTAAATTTAATTCTTCTTGATCTGTTACCTCCCTTTTACAGCTGCATTTTTTAGACTCCTCCGCCACAATTGATTTCCTTTTAATAAAGCAAAAATTGAGTAGCTGTTCGGTATTTGTAATCTAAAGTTTGTTGCTTTAGCCGCAAACTCATCGTTTATGTTTCCTTCTTTCTGAACTTCTCTTTTGCTTTCTAATTAAAATATTGTTGATCTTAGCATTTGAGTGCTTTTTGTTTGGTTTTGGCTTCTGGGTATTTTTGTTTTGGTGGAATTGGGTTTTGGTTATCTGGGTTTTTGTGATCTTGTGGTTGGAGTTGCAGTTCAAGTTCAACTTGTTGATTTATTTGCTTTGAAGAGTTTTCATGCTTTGTTGCTAAGATGCAGCCTGATCAAAGAAAAAAGGTAATTTTGATCGTTTCAAATATGTGTTTATGGTTTTGTGTATGTATATGAACTTGTGTAAGCATGTAGAAGCTGATATTCGTAGTGCAAGATCTAAATGAATATTAAGACTGGTGATGTTTATGTGTTGGTCATTACCGATCGCTTATGTTGTTTGTTACTCTAGATCAAAAATATGTTATTAATTTCAATTTGCTCTATACAGCCCTTGAAATTTCTTTTTGTGGCCCAATTAAACTGGAAATTCCTGTGGTATAGTGGGTATAATTTTTGTATCTGGATAGGAAAGAACAGCATGTCAAGGTCATGTCCATCTTCTCTGCCACGTGGTTACGTCTCTTTTGACAATTCGGTGGGAGGTCCCACTGCAACATTCTTGTCACGTAAGAACTGAACGGTTAAGTAGCTTTAGCACAAGTTCTGGGGTTTAAAGTTGATTCAGATACTGTAAATGTGATCTAATTGATACAAGGAATATCACATTTTTTGGTTCAGGATTGTGGAGGCTCTCCACCACAAATTTTATGTTCTAATTCTTTCTCGTTTTTTCCTCTTCTTTTTGTGTTCTCAAAGTTGCCAGAGAAAAACATTATTGATTTTGGTTAAGTTGCCATCTCACCTAAAAGCTTAAGCTAGTAGGTGAAGGCTCAACATTTATTTGACCATTCAGTGGCAGCTTGACACAAAGCTCTATATTCAGCCTCTGTTGATGACAGATACCACCTTCTGTTTTCTGGAGGTCTGTTGAATTAAATTTCCACCAAGGAGGATGCCATATTCACTAATAGATTTTCTGTCCATACCACCTAAAAGCTTAAGCAAGTAGGTGAGGGCTTAACATATATTAGACCAATAGGCCCCCTCGCATCAAACTTGGATTTTTTTCATTTTCTTTATCCAATTTGTATGTGGGAATTCAAACTTGAGACCTTTGGCTCTGATACCAAGTTTAAGTTGTCATTCTATCTAAAAGCTTAAGCTAGTAGGTAAAGACTCAACATATATTATACCAATAATTTTTGTTTTGCATTTACTTTCACTCTGTATATGTCAAGTTTACTTCATCTAGGCGATGGAACTCTAGGAATTCCTTTTCCCAAATTCCTTTATGTAGTCATTAACCTTTTTTAATTGAACTTCTGTAATCATTTCAGTAAGTAGAGAATGTAGACCAAGTACTTCTGTTGTTCTTATACTTACATTGAGGCTGTCAATTAAGCAAAACCTTGATGATGAGAGATGGCAAAAAGGGTTTTTTATCAATTTTAGGTTTTTGGATGTCTATATTGTTGATTTTTATAATATTGCTTTATGTCACAAGTTGATTGATTCCTATTATTACTCTTTGAGTATCTTGTTGATATTGTTGTGGTAATGCAGTCATCTGCAGATGTAGACTTCTTCACAGAATATGGTGAGGGGAGCAGATACAGAATAGAGGAAGTGATAGGTAAAGGAAGCTACGGTGTTGTTTGCTCTGCATATGATACACATACTGGAGAAAAGGTTGCAATTAAGAAAATCAATGATATCTTCGAGCATGTCTCTGATGCCACCCGCATCCTTCGTGAGATTAAACTTCTTAGACTCTTGCGTCATCCAGACATTGTCGAGATCAAACACATCTTGTTACCTCCATCTAGACGGGAATTCAAAGATATATATGTTGTATTCGAACTCATGGAATCTGATTTACACCAGGTTATTAAAGCAAATGATGATTTGACTCCAGAGCACTACCAATTTTTTCTTTATCAGCTTCTGCGAGGTCTGAAGTACATCCACACAGGTTGAAATTTTATTCTTTGATAGTAGGAGATTTTTATGCGTTCTTGTTTGTTGTATAGTTATAAGTCACGGATGTACCCTAAGTAAGAAAGTTAAAGTTGTTGCCAATGAATATAGTAGTCTGATTTTTTTATTTCAATTATGGTTTTGTAGCAAATGTCTTTCATCGGGACCTAAAGCCCAAGAATATCTTAGCAAATGCTGACTGTAAACTCAAGATCTGTGACTTTGGTCTTGCAAGAGTAGCTTTCAATGAAACTCCAACTGCTATTTTTTGGACGGCAAGTTTTCTTTAGCCGATTGTAAATTTGCAACCCATGAAACAATTTGCATGGTCTCTAAATATTTTTTTTAGTCAATTTTGTGATGAACGTGCATTTTTTTTTTTTTTTAATTCTAACAGGATTATGTTGCGACAAGGTGGTACAGGGCTCCAGAATTGTGTGGATCCTTTTTCTCAAAGGTGCAAGAATTATTACCACTTACCATTTGCTTGGAAGTTGCTTGATCTTTGCATCTGGTATCGTGATTCTTGTTCTGTTTAAAGTGATCGTTCTTGAGTGCTCTGTTACAAATTTTGTTTGCTAGTGTACCATTTACGGTGTCTTTTTCTCTTTCAAATCATTCTCTTTTCTATTTTTTGTGCAAAATTGTGACAAAGTATGAAAATCCTCATCACCACTCTTTCGTCTTTGTTTTTCTCCTTACTTTTTGTAATCTGTTTACTCCTTTGTTTTTTCTTTGTTTACTTTTTATTGTTTCAATGCAACTTGAGTTGGATGAATAGTTGCTCAGAACAATACTTCTTAAAAACTCACCTGTTTGTGTGTAGGATTGGAGCCTTACTACGATTAAACTTATTCTTTTGGTTGGATAATTCTTATGAAAGCCTTGTGTATGTATGGCCAATTTTGTAGCTTATCCTCTTCCCTAGTCTTCTTTTCATCATCTATTATTGGCAAACTGAGTTGGAATGTTGCTATAATTTACTCTAAATCTTCGTATTATTTATGGGAATCTGGCCTCATGCAGCGTGACATCGTCAGGAGGAGCTTTTATATGTTGTAACAAGCTTAGCCTAGGTTTAATATTTTCTTATAGTGGATGAGCTCTGCTCAGCTCAAATTAGATTTATTCATAACAAATTTTTTTTCTCTCTTTAATGTTATGTAACTTTTTACAGTATTCTGTTTGTACTGTTTGTCAAGATAATATGCATTACTTTATCATAGCATGTTCTGCTTTTGATCATACTCTTTGCTTTTCTTTCAGTATACACCAGCAATTGATATATGGAGCATTGGTTGTATCTTTGCTGAACTTTTAACTGGGAAGCCTCTTTTCCCTGGGAAAAACGTCGTTCATCAATTAGACCTTATGACCGATCTGCTTGGAACGCCATCCGCCGAAGCCATTGCCAGGGTCTGTTCAATGTTAAACTTATTGTCTTGTTGTGGATATGATTATTTAAAGTTCATTATTACACTGTTTCATGTCCTTGTTTATGCATTTCTTCACTGAATTATTGATATTATATGGACAGGTAAGGAATGAGAAAGCGCGGAGATACTTGAGCAGCATGCGGAGGAAAAAGCCCATTCCTTTCTCTCAGAAGTTCCCTAATGCCAATCCCCTTGCACTTCGTTTATTGGAAAAAATGTTGGCATTTGAACCCAAGGATCGACCTTCAGCAGAAGAGGTGATTGCTATGTCCTGCATTATCTTATTTTTCAAAATGTATTCCTTTTTCTAACAGAGATGTGTTGCTGCATGTTGTCAGGCTCTTGCTGATCCATATTTTAAGGGTTTAGCCAAGGTTGAGAGAGAGCCTTCTGCTCAACCAGTTACCAAGATGGAATTTGAATTTGAGAGACGAAGGATAACAAAGGAAGATGTAAGAGAGCTTATATACCGAGAAATTCTTGAATACCATCCTAAAATGTTGAAAGAGTACTTAGAAGGTTCGGAACCAACAGGCTTCATGTATCCAAGGTATTGTTGTTGTCTATTGATATTTTGTTATGAAAACATCTTAATTATGTTGCTAAATGAAGCTGCATTTTTTTTTCATTGATTTTGTTCCACTTTAACAGTTGTGAACTTGCATTTGACCATTCAATTTTTCACCAATCTTGTATATTTTTTATTTGAACTTTTCTTTGCAGTATTCCTCTGGATTGTTGATAAATTTAGTTCTGTTTTTTCAATATTAACTTTTGTTGAGGAACCATTAATTCCAAAACTTAAGTCGAAACTCTAAGTGCCATATGACATGAATGGTCTAATTTAATTAACAGACTTGTCGCATGGATCTAAATGCATGTAGATCCAAGCAGAGATCCTGCTTCCTTTATGTTTTAAATTAATAGAATGGAGGGATTTGACAAAAGACTTCTTGGTCCACCTAGTTTTGATTCTTCTGAAAAGCTTCAATCAATTGAAAGAATCTAACAATTGTATTTAAACTCGAACAGTTTAGAGGGAACCTTTGAGTCTTTATGAATTCACTTTATTCTGAAGGATGTTGAAAAGTCCCTTGCTTTGAAAGTTGTTATCTTATGTATGCATTTCTTATGCAGTGCTGTTGATCATTTCAAGAAGCAATTTGCTTTCCTTGAGGAGCACTATGGAAATGGTGCGACTGTTGCTCCACTCGAGAGGCAACATGCATCATTACCCAGGTATCCACTCACTATAAATTGGGCATGCTGCTATCCATTTCTTAGGCATCATGTTTATACCATTAATATGCTTCTTTAATGCTGCAATGAATTTTTATTTTATAGCAATTTCCAGCATCCTTATCAAATTTTATGCATGCAGGCCATGTGTATTGTACTCTGATAAACCAGTACAGAACTCAGTAGAGGTCACAGATAACCTTTCCAAATGTTCCATCAAAGAAGTTGAAAAACCACCTTTGGATAGGAGTTCAGGGATACCTATGACAAGGCTCCCTCTTCAAGTTCCTCAAAGCACCCAAAGTAAGTTCAGTTTTATCTAATTGCAGCTAATTTACAGTGCTGACCAAACACACATCTTTATGACATTGGTTATAATTTCTTGGTATTATCTTGCATGAGAATCAATTTATCTAGAAAGAAGACTGTAAATAAAGTGTGGTCCTGTAACTCAATTATTTGTAAATTTTACCATTATGAAATTGGTTATTAACATCTTCCACAGTCAAGGGATAAGATTTAAATTTTTTTGTCCATTTCCACTGCACAAAGGTCCAGACACCGCACATGGATGGCTGATGGTTATACACTTGTTCCTCACTTCTATTGGACCATGGATTGTTGTGCTTAAATGTTCTTGTCATGCAACTTGATCGGAACCCTCCTGTTAAGCTCCTTAATACTTTGTTGTTTCCCTGATACTGAAGTACTTTAACATGCACAATGAATATCCTTATTGTATTGGTGCTTTTTGTAGCACATGGTACTTACTATTCTCTCAAGATACATATTGCTCAGCTTGTGTCATATATGATATACTAATGGCTAATAAATTAATGTTTTCATTCCAGCAGGTGCTGCAAGACCAGGGAAAGTTGTCAGTTCAGTATTGCGTTACAACAATTGTGGAGCTGCAGCAGCAGCAGAGGCTCTTGATCAGCGGAGGGTGGTTAGAAATCCAGCTGTCTCTTCCCAATATCCTGCCAGTTCATATCAAAGTAGAAACCCCGTATGTAAAAATGATTCTGTGGATGATGAATCCGTTGAAAGTTCCAATGGATTGCAGCCAAAGCCTCAATACATGGCACGGAAAGTTGCTGCTGCTCAAGGCGGTAACTGGTATTGACTGTGTTGTGTTATTCTTCTTGTGGATTCAATTGCATACAGTCAGCTGATGACCGTGGTTAGGTGTCACCGCGGATTGATCTGCTCTCAACTAGGAATCATGAGATTCAAGTGGTATGTTTTACCAGCACAGGGCCTGCAGGGACTGAAAAGCTCTCAAGTTGTAATTTATAGCACTAACTAGAAAGGTGGAAGGGGTAATTTTATGTGCCACTGCCCATGACCCTGTTCTTGTATGATCAGAACAATAAACCAAGATACAAGGCATGTCCTCATGAATGAGGAAAAGGCAAGGCAATTCCTTGAGTTACCAATTTCTTTCTGTTTTCTCCTAATTCTTTTCAAATTAGAATTAAGTTATTACCACTTTGTTCTCTATGTCTTATTTAAGTTATTTTGGGGCATAACTGTGACTGTTAATTGTTGTATCTTTGACTTGTGCTTTCTCAACTTGAAATAATTGCATCGATTCTTCCTACTCTTTCACTTAACCAGTATATTGTCGGTTTTGGCATTAAATTTGATCAGAAATATGCATCGACTTTAGTTGATGGTTATATATGAGCTTTGAGAATTGAGACACCAGCTTCATGCAAATATAAGTTGGTTCATTTCCACTTACAATAATCTTGGATAATTGAATATAAAGATGCAAAATCTTACACATTATGCCTCAATAACCAGTATAAATAATGGCATATTTAGACCTCCTCTGACATTAATAAGTTACTAGTTTGACAGGTGAAAGGCAAAAGCAGATCATCAACATGCTACTTATTAGGAATAGGATCCCTATTTGCAGAAATCACATTTTGCTGCTTCTAGTTCTAGTTCTAAGACTTCTAGTTCTAGTTTGGCTTTGCTTTATTTGACAAAGTACCTTGCTATATTAATATTATTCAATTTGCAAAATTATTCCCACAATAAAAAAGAAATGGTCCTGTCAGAGTATGTATAGTTGTATACTATGTAACAAATAATCCCCGCATGCAAATCTGTAATTACATACACTCATTGCTTTAACAACTTACAAGTAATTTCACCATCTTAACTGACACTCAGCTGTTCACAAACTATAGAACAAATTAATGAACCACTATATTAAATTTATCAAATGAATTGTCAACTGTTAGTATGATCCAAAAATGTTTTAACCTAACAAGCTCTTTTTTTTTTTTTTTTTCCTTTTCAATTATTATTATTCTTCTTGAGAAAGAAAGCCCTATCTGTTATTCCTAATCAAGGTGTCCTCGGCTTCACCCGCCTCCCTTCACATCACAGCCATCTATTGTTGTCTCATTTCCATATCCCGAAGCAATGACACAGTGCTCACCAATTCTCGCCACATGCTGCAACAGTTCGGTGAGACAAAGCAGCTTTCTTTTAGTTATCAAATCCATCTGTTTGCATCACGGCTGAAAACAACAATTGACCACTCCTTTTGTTAGAAGCAATCATAATGGCTAAGAAAGAAAAAAGGATAACCAAAAGCAATTCAATTACATTTTTACTCTTTAAACCAATGACTAGCTATCCTGATGATAAAGGATTAGTGTAGCATAGTGATATCAAAGCAGCACAGTGGGTGAGGGATTATATCAACCCTTTTTTTTGAGTTTATAATATAAATGAAATTTTTTGGATATAACATTAGCAATAATCACAAACAAAAGACTAATATCCTACATTCACACCAACTGTCAGCATTACAAGCTGCGCCAAGTGCCATGCAAAACTTAGTACAGAGGCTCTAAGACATGGGGCAACGGCTCTCTACCACAGGTCAAAAACATGAGAGTGATTAATGGTAAACCAGTTCCTTGTACAATAACACATGTAACCCAAAAGAGAACTTTGTAAACATAGGACATAACAAGTGATGATGAATATGCATATTTAAATACCTTTCAAATTTCGGGCAATGCAGTGAACTTGAGACAACAGCTTTCAGTTGGAAACAGTGGTGCTGCTCTGCCAAGGCCAACGTGGTCAACTGTGTATGTAGACATCCTCACAAAGTTTAGCCTCACACAACAACTTGAGCCTCTCAAGAGCATATCGATCTGCTGCTGCAAGCAGATGCTGAGCCATTAGTGTAGAAGCCCTTTTGGATTTAGATCCACAAGCCTTCTCATGTCTGGTAGGTATCCCAGTAGATAAATGGAGTAATGCCTGTAAAGTTCCAACTAACATTAAAAGGAGGATACTTTCATGCAGGTTTACCAAGCAATACTCAGGTACAACTAAACCTTTAGAATCTTCTTGCATCTTTGAGCACTAAAATAAATTAAATAACAAACAGTGCATCACCAACTAGAACCAAAAATGAAAGAACAGACAAAAAAAAAAAAAAAAAAGACATGAATAAAATGAGGGGCAAATAGAAGTATTGGAAGCCATCTCTGCCTTTGTTCCAACTAAATTTCAACGAGGAAGAGGAACCATGATATCACTTGTATTTTCAAACATATGAAGATTTTGTTTATTCCATTGAACCCACACCATGCAGCCAGATAAATCTTAAGAATTTTGAGTACTTATTGATAATTCCAACAAAATCAAATGATTAAAAGCTCATTCAATTTAGAAACCATTATTCGTATCACCAAATAAACAGTTGGATAAACCTGTCCAACAGCAGGCTCTCAGTATCTTTTCAGCTGTCGACTGGACAGACAAATGAGAAATTACAAAAAAATCCTTCAAAATGCACAATCAGGAAATCAAGTAATTTAGATACTACTTAACAGGTGATTCGAAGTAAATCATTATACCATCAAATAGACCGACTATGGAATATATGCATATAGCAGCGTCAATCAGAAGAGAAGCAAAAGATACGTAAACCTTAGCTGGGGTGAGTAAGATTTTTGTACAGGAGCAGCGCCTTAGAAGAAGTTCCAGATGTACATTCGTGTATATATCATCCTGTACAGGAACGCATTACTCACCTCACAAAAGGCAACCAATAGAAGCTACCTCTTCCTATGAATCTTATACATTATGCATAATAAGCTAATTTCCTAACATAGAACTCATCCTTAGAGATCAGCAGGGGCTCAACAGAGAATTAAGAACAATTTGAGAACACGCACCACAACATCTCAAAAGAAACCCGCCTACTGTAATCCAAGACAACCCCTTTTAGTGATATTAATCCAAAAAAAGGAAAAAAAAAAAAAAAAAAAAAAAAAAAAAAAAAAAAAAAAAAAAAGAGAGAAAGAAAAACGATAACAAAAAAATTATATTTCAGCAGCAAGAAAATAAGTTAGGCTTACAACAAACCAGTGCCTTTTTAACTTTTTGTTTTAGCAATATACTAAGAAGTAGAATGGAAGAAGCCATCAGATCACCACCACAACCAGAGGAAATTACGTATTCAAACACTATTCTAAACTCTAGCAGGAAAAATATTTCTTTTGGTAAGGGCTGCAGGAATGTGCATATAAAACAGGGAATAAAAAAATGCCATAAGAGTTAATTTTTTTTTTTTAAACCAAATTATCTCTAGTCTGCCTCTGAAATTCAGTGATTATACACAAGACAAGCTTCATAACAAAGCAAACAGAACACAATCTGCCATTCAAAAATATAACTGCAAAACAAGAACTCAAGAGTAGGAATGAACCACAAAAACAGAGACAACATTTATATAATTTGAAGGCAAATGATTAACGTTTTCCGTCCAATTTCAACCAACAACAATCAGCATATATTGGATCACATATCTATCATTCAGTAAAAACTTTACACTGTACAACCTAAGCAAAGTAAGCACAACAGTGGTGTTGGAGAGAGAGAAAGAGAGAGAGAAAGAGAGAGTGAACCTTAAATACTGGGGCTTCCATGTCTTCAACATTAATGCATTGAGTGTTTTGATCCTTCAGTGGACCAAAAAGTTGAGCTCTGAACACAGGTGAGCGTGCAGCAAGAACCAATTTGTGTGCCGAAAACTTTTCCCCATCAACATCAAAATTCACATCAGTACACCTACCGCTTTCTAAAAGCTTCCCAAAATGCTTACCGATATCACAAGGTGGCACGGCAATAGTGTAAGTCTTAGGTCCCTCTGTATATGACTTAACTACACCAACACAGCAGCGAATTGAGAGGCAGTCATCTTTAAGGTAGTCTGATGTCTCAAGAAGAGTCCTTTTAAAAAAGCGCTTATAGCCCCTGAAACACCCAACAGTGGAACCCATTTCAATATGTTTCTGATCCACAAAAATACTGGACGTCATATTTAATTTATACCAAAATAGATGTAACCGAAATCTTATAAATTTCTATGACAAGACAGCAAATATAGCAATGTGCTCCAAGGCAGGTTTTCTGACACTCAAGAACATTTTTAGATTGCCTCTCTAAAGAAGGCGAACTTACTTTGATGTACTCAGTCCTGTCTAATCTTTGAATTTACATATTATCATTGTTTAAGATTCCAGGTATAGTGGAAGTTAGAATTGAAAAATTAATGAAAGGTTTTACTGTGGAAGGAATGAAGGAAATGACCTTCTTACTTGGAAGTTAATTTCTCGCCCTAGGTTGAAGGTGGATTAGGGATTCGCAATTTAGGGAAGAGGGATAGCAATTTTAGAAAAATGGCTGCTGAGATTTCCTTAAGAAATAAATTATCTTTGGCAAGAAGTAAATCAGCCATATTCAAGTGATTCATGAAAATAGCTTGGAAGCTGATGTGATTAGGAGCTCTCAAGGTTTTCGTGGAAGGCTATTTCAAAAATTTATCCATTTTTCTCCAGACATTTAAAGAATATTGTTGAAAGGGGGAGTAGGTTTAGTTTTTGGGAGGATTATTGGTTTGAAAAAACTTCAGTTTGTTCATTAGAAATTTGAAGGATAGGTAGGTACATGAGTTATCTTCTCTTCTTACTTTAACTGAGAATAATTTTCTGGATGAAATGAATAAATGAAAGATGACAGTAGGACAAATAATCAAACAAAATATGCTAGATAAAAAAACAATCTTCCAATTCCAGAGTCTCAAACAACCTTCAAACCACACTGCATAAACACATCACCAACCCCATTTACTAGAAACTTTCCTGTCCCTTAGCCCATGCATATAAATCAACAGAAATCCACATTTTCCTGCTTTAACATAAAATTGCTTTTAACAACAAATTAACCATAAAATCACACTAGAAGTCAATAAAGATCCATAAACACAAAAACCAAACAATTCAGTTCAAAACACAGATAACATGTTAAAGAAAACCACTGACCACATGCTCCCCCGATATTTAAGCGCGTAGGGTCCACTCTCGAGGGTCCTCCCAAAATGGGTATGAACCTTGTGCCGTGCCTTCCCGCTCTGATCCAAAAGCGTGAGCTCAAACAGCGCTCTAACGTCCGTCCCTTCGCTTGCGAGGGCGATAAACAGCGAAACATAAGCGGCGTTATCTTCAACGCTCTTGCCGTCAGGGTAGAAATAAACAGCCCAAGCATAACCACCGACAAAGAAGGTATCGGAAGCTATGTACTTTCCGATGCCCATGCCTTTAGAGAGCGAGTAGCCGCTGATCTTGAACTGGTGCCACCCATTTATGGTCTCGTTGCGAGAGGTGGAGGTTGTGGTGGGTGTAATTGAGGGTTTTGAAGGGTCTTTAAAGACCCTAATTGTGCCCATCAACCGGGGTGACGGTGAATTTCCACGTTATGAGAAAATGAATCGTTGAATTTGTCTAGATTAATTGGGTTAAATTGGGAATTAGGGTTTTGAGTAAATTCAAATTGAGGGATTTGGGACTGATAAAAATTATTTCTTGGGATTTGGGGCAATGATTATTTGAGAGAAGGGATTTAGAAACGACGAGACGGCGATGCTTCTTGTTTTAATTGGATGATGATGCAAGAGTTTTAAGAATTAGCTCAGCTGTCCTCCACGGAGGTTGCCATGTGACATTATATGTACTCTAAGAACTAAACGACATGTCATTTCTTTATTTACCTCAAAGGCATTTTATTAAAATTCAAATTTAATTAAAAGGGTATGTAGTTTTAAATTGTTAAGTAAATAGCCTTATTATTGATTAAGATTAATTAAACATGATTAGTGATTAATTAGGATTAATGAAGTATTGTATAATCTTTTAAAAATTATAATATGTCTCCAAAAAGCCGAAATTCTTGCAAACAAACCTAAACACCTTATTCTTCTTTCTCTTGCCACACCAACGCACCTCCCCTAATTGTTGTTTCTTCTAAGCTTCGTCTACATTTTCTTCTTCCTTCTTCCTCTACATCTTCTTCATCCTCCGCCATTAACACTTTCTGCTTCCTCCGCTATTAACATCTTCTCCGCCAAAGATTTGCCTCTTCCTCCTCCTCCTCCTCCTCCTCTTACTCCTCCTCATGACATTTCGTCCAAGTATGTGCATCTCCTCTTTGCATTTTAAATTTTGATTTACAAAGATTTAATGATAGATTGGGTTTGGGTTATGATTTTGATTTAGTTGTTTAGGTTGTTGGGTTGTGTTTGATGTAATGCAAGTTGAAAGGAGTGAAATTTGTTGAATATTTTCTTGCATTGTGGGTAGCTAGGGGTGGTAGCACCGATTGTAGGTGGAGATGACTGAAAATGTGTTCTATATCTGATGGATCGCTTAAGCGATCTGATATGTTTGGTATAATGCAGTAGATCACAAATCGCTTAAGTGATTAGATATATGGCAGTAGATCACTTAAGCGATAAGGTATATGGTAGAAGATCGTTTAAGCAATCAAGCTTATTTATACCAAATTGCTTAAGCGATATACTTGATCGCTTAAGTGATCCAGTAAGCGATATACCAAATTGCTTAAGCGATACACCACATTGCTTAACCGACTTTGCAGATGCTTTTTAAAATCTGTCAACCCTTAATATATCGGTTAATAATTTTTGTTTTCTTGCATTATGGGTACTTGGCTATTATTAGACATGGGACAAGTGGTTTTGGGTGTTAAATATTTTAGTGAGTGGGTGGAGGAAGAAAGTTGCTGAAAGTGGATTGGGAAGAGCAAACAAGTTAAAGCAATTGCTGTGAGTACAGAAGTTAGTTTTGATGAGTTGATTAATGAAATCATTAGAAGAGGTGGGTTGAGTTGCTCATGTAATGATATAGTTGTGAAGTATGTTTTAAGCAGAGCTCTTGCAAATTTTAAGGTACCCCTGTTGTATTAATGTCTGATGAAGATGTGAAGTTATTTATGCTTGATGTGGGTGATAATGGTTCGAGATAGATTTTAACTGTTTCAGTTATGGATAAAGCTTTGGAAGTTGGTTCAAGAGTAAGCGCTGATTTGGGTGGGGAGAATGATGGTTTTAATATTAACTATGAGGGCATTGATTTCTTTATTGAAAAATCAAAAGTATGCGGTGATTTGGGTGGTGAGGCTGACACTGTAGAAGAGGTTGGTCATGTGGGGCAGAATGAAAATGTGGAGGAGGAGGACCCCGTATATGTTCCTACAAATGTAGAGATTCCTATCAATACAGATTATGTAGAAGGTATAGTTTGTGAGGAAGAGAACACTATGGTCATTTATGTAGGCTCGAAAGCGGCAATTGAGGGTACTAGTGAATCACCTCACGTTTTTACTGATGGATCGGACTTGCGCGTAGGTTATTTATTTGACAGCAAGGAGGAAGTGGTGAGAAAGCTAAAATTTGTTGCCATGAGAAGTAATTTTGAGTTCATCACCAAAAAGTCTAATTCATCGTTAGTGACGGTTGCATGTTGTGACCGAAAGTACAAGTGGCGGGTTTATTGTAGAAGGTTGGTTGAGTCCGAAAAATTTATTGTTAGCACATATACCCGTGAGCACACATGTGGGTTAGGACATATTTCAGGTGAGCATCGACAAGCCTCTGTTGATGTTATTGGGCAATTTGTCAAAAGTCAGTTTGTTGAAGGGAAAGGTACATCTCCTAAGGACATTCAGAGACTTGTGCGCACAAAGTTGGGATGCGATGTTTGTTACTGGAAATGCTAGAAAGGGAGACAACATGCACAAGATTCTATGAGAGGCACGCCAGAGCACATGTATGAAGTATTAGAAGCACACTGTTATATACTTGAGTTGACAAACCAAGGTAACAAGACGACTTTGAGTGGGACAAGAATATGATGTTTAAATATTTTTTTGTTGCTTATGGTACTGCTATAAGGGGTTTTGTAAACATGAGAAATTTGTTGGCTGTTGATGGTTGCTTTTTTACGGGAAAGTATGGAGGTACATTGTTGGTGGTCACTGCACTGGACAACGAGAATCACACATATCCCGTTGCATGGTGTGTGGTTGACTCTAAGAACGACAAGTCGTGGACTTGGTTTTTTTAGCAATTACTTACGATAGTGCTTGACAGTGACGAGTTGTGCATAATATTCGATAGGCACAACTCTATAAAGAAGGAGATTGCCACTGTTTACCCTCAAACACATCACGGATTCTGTATGAGGCACTTTAGCGATAACATAAAACAAAAGTTTAAGTGTGCTGACCTCCTTCAGACATACTACATGGTAGCAAAAGCTTATCGAGTTGATGAGTTCGAAGAGCACTTTCGGCAAATCTGAATCAAGGATGATATAATTGCTAAGTATCTTGAGTATGATGTTGGTGTCGAGCGATGGAGTAGAGCTCACTTTCTTGGAAGAAGTTTCGATGTTATGACCACGAACATAGTCGAGTCCATAAATTCAGAGTTGTTAATAGAAAGAAAGTTACCAATTATTGCCCTTTTTTATGCAATCCAGAGGACATTGTCATGGTGGTTCCATGAGCGTCGTACGGAGTTAGATAATTTTACCACAATCCTTGTTCCGTCAGCCAAAAAATTATTGCTAGAACTATGGAACTGTCAAATGCACTGTTTGTCTATTGTCTCAATGCTTAAGAGTTCACCATGTGCGGCTATGGTCCAAATGCCCTAGTTAACCTTCTTAGTAAAACTTGCAGTTGTAAAGTGTTTGACATTCAACGTTTACCTTGTCCTCATGCACTAGCAGCACTGAAACACCAACGGAAGCCGAATTTTTGTTCAAGAATTTGTTAGTGTATGCCCTAAGAACCAATCGTGTTGTCAGTTTCAGGGCATTATATCTTGTAAATACTCTTTTGAGAATGGAAGAAAGAGTTATGTTTTCACATGTTGTTTACTGCTTCATTTATACTATTTATAATGCATGTGAAATGTTTGGATGATACGGATCTTTAGAAGATCAAATCATCGAAGCATTCCCTACGTAAGTAATGTTAATTGGACAATAACATTACATAGTAGGTATGGTGAATGCTTCCATTGAATATCATGTGATGTTATTAGTGTGAGTGATTATGAGAGTTATGTCACTAACGCATTAGCATGGACAAACAATTAGTTGACTGTTTATCGAATATGGCCGATTACGATAAATCACATAGACATTTAGTATGTGGTCAATGATACATCGTAGGATCGTAATAGTGTACCACTAATCCTTAGACCTGAGACATCACGGTTGGACTCGACATAGGATGCATATGATTCATATGGTGAATATACACGAGATTAGTCATGTTTTGTGTAAGAAGCCGGTTTGATAATATGTTATTCATGTGCAAGGACAAGTGATGGTCAATATGAGATATGTTGACTCAAAATAGTTTGGTCCCGAGTTCCCAGACGAATATCAATAAACATTAGAAAAAGGAAATCTTTGGCCAGAGTACAAAATAGTCATATGAAAAAGAGTTTCATGATGACACATTCTATTGTATTGATTGACAATTCAGATAAAGATTAAATTAAGGGTTTTGACATACCATGAACTCATACTTAATCGGGATTAGACAATGGAAAGATTTTACTACATAAAACGTACGATCGGGAAAAAGGGTTCATTGGAGTTTAACTTCATTGTGGCTTAGGGGTTATAGAGTATTGCTAGATGCCTACCATGATCGGTGGGAGTTTTGATCAGAAAGAGTTATAATAAAATATATCGGATTGCGATATTAGGCCCACGACTAGGTTATAGTGAACCTAAGTGGTCACACCTAAAAACCAAGTATAATAAGAGAGAGTAATACATGTCGTTAAAGGTTAATGATATTCAGATGTAAACGTGTGGGCAGCCCTATATTCCATATTTGTGAAATGAGGTACGTTTCTACTAACATGTCACACTCGTGACTAATTTACTAAATTGATTAATTGATTGATTGACTTGACACGACATTTGTGTTGATAATATTTATTTTGCCTATCTTACTTTTTTGGGCAGCAGTCAGTGTCTTACAGAGGTGATATGAGAAATTTTACTTACTTAAACCTTTTCTAAAATACATGAAAATGAAAAATAATTAATTTTATTTAATACTATATAAAGGATGATTTATTCAAGGTAATAATTAAATTGAAAACAAGAAGTCTTCAACGGTTGGCCTTGACAACTCTTTCGATTTCATTATTTCTTCTTGATGACATAGCTAGAAATACAAAGACATAAAATCAGTTTAATGCACCACAAAAGAGAAACATAATAA